TCGGAATTTTAACTTTTTTTAGATGGGTGGTTATACGATCTCACTCTTAATCAAAATAGAGGCAGTGCCATTATAACACTGGTAGGGGTTGACAAACAAAATATGTCTAAACAGACCACAGCACAATTCTTAGTCTGCCAACCCCCCCAGCCAAAATTCAGATTATATAGTATTTTTCTAGAAGTTACTTTCCCACATTTCATCATCCAGAGCAAGGGTTTTCAAGAGTGTGGTCCCTAGACCAGCAGCACCTCTTATCACCTGGGACTTGTTGGAAACAACTGGCAGAATTGCAAATTTGGGGGACTTACTCAGACCTATGGAATCAAAAACTCTAGATGTGGGGGTGCCTAGAAAACTGTACTTTCACAAGCCTTCCAAGTGATTTTATGCACTCTGAAGGACTGGCTCAACTAGGGAGGGCTCATTTGTTAGGTCAAAGCTATCAGAGCCTGCAACAGAGAAGCACGAGGCTGGCTCTTACCCCACCCCGAATCTCCAATCCAACTTGGTGGATAAACCATAGATGCCAAAAACCAATATAAGATTTTGACAGTGTGTCAAGGCAACCTCAAAAGAAATGTCATGAAGAGGTTATTGCCAGATGTTTCCATTTACATCCCTTTTGTGCCCTGAATCTCTGTTTTCTGCAGTCCACTACCCATTTTAAAGTTGTTCTTTTGCTTTTTCACCTTCATGAATTCCAAGCAAAGCAGTGCTTCTGAAGTTAATGCAAATAAAAACTATGCATTTTATACTGTTCTGTCTTTTTAAAGTATTTTATATAGATCGTGTTGTTTAATCTTCACAACTCCCCTATAAAGTTTAACCCACCGGGAAATTTGTGTATCAATTTAGAACCCTCTAATAAAGTCTCTAAATTAACAACCACTTTTTGAGAACAGACTATATGAGGCATTTTTATAGAAAATTATTTCTAGCACTTACAAGTCTGAAAGCTGTCCCATGGCAGCAAATATACTCAACTTAAGAATATAGAAAAATGTATTAAAACATGTACCATAAAAGTACATTGAAATGAGACATTAACTGTTTCACAGTTAAACATGTTAAAACTTGTATAGATTTAATATGGTGCAATTTATTACAAAAGGTAATGGTATTGTGGCTCAGCGCCTGTAGCACAATGATTATGGCGCCAGCCACATGCACCAAGGCTGGCAGGTTCAAGCCTGGCCAGGGCCAACTAAACAACAATAACAACTACAACAAAAAAAAAATAGCTGGGTGCTTTGGGTATCTGTAGTTTCAGCTACTTGGGAGACTGAGGCAGGAGAATTGCTTAAGTGCAAGAGTTTGAGGTTGCTGTGAGCTGTGATGCCATAGTACTCTACTGAGGGCGACAAAATGAGACTCTGTCTCAAAAAATAAATAAATAAAAATAATTATTTTTCCTGAAAAATCTAAGGTTATGTTCTAAATTTAGATAATTCAACAGGACTTGTAAGGTCTAAACATATAATTATTTTATAATCCAATAGAAGTGGTACTGATAAAATAGCCTTATTCTCACAGATTTCTCTTGTTTCAGCTGCATTAACTCTTCCCTGATGGCTGGTTTCTGTGGGACTCAACCATCTCAACCACAATGGCCTCCATGATGTCTTCACGGCTTACATCATTTGCTAAGGTCATGTTTTACTTAATCCATAGTACAGCTTCGATTTGGAGGCAACCATAATTTTTACGATCACCCATGGGAGAGAACATCTTCTAAAGCATTCTTTGTTAGTAACTGGACCCCCTGCCAAGACCAGGCACTGGTCCAAGCTGTTCTTGGTGTTGCAGACTGACTCACTAAATCACAGGCTTCTATGCTTCATCAGTTCATCATCCGAGCAAACCAGAAGATCTATACAAGTACTAAGCCTTGAAAGGGACATTCACGCCTCAATCTACTATCTATAAAATAGTCTCTCTCCAATTAACCAATACATCACCTTAATTTACAGGCTTCTCTGCAGTTTTATCTACCTCAAGCGTAGCTCCACTGAAGAAAAGGGCAGAAAATTTAAGTGAACCATCCTTGAAGCTTGCCCTCAGGTTAGCTCAGGAGCAGGCCTTGTGCCCTGGATTTTCAGAGTAGTAGACAAGTAAACACATCAATTTAAAATCATCCTCAGTGCAGCCTCAAGTGATATCTAGCTGCTTTAACCTGGGATGCCGTGTTCTTCCACAGATATTAAAGTCTTTTCGGGCCATCCTTTCCAATCAAGCTCTGTCTTACCAACCTGAGAAGTTTGTTTCTATAAGGGAAGCCAACATTTCAGGAGACTTGTGAGACTTCTATGTGCCAGAACTGCCACCTTCCTTTTTCATCTTAATGCTGTGCAAACCATCCTTCTCTTGGAATCACAGAACTTATCATCTAAAAATTTCTATTGCAAAACCATGACTTCATCAGACCTTTAGTCCTCAATGGCCATGGCTTCTGAAAGATCACGATGTTTAATGCCAATGTTAACTGCCTCCTATCCTATGCCTGTAAATATTCAATGGGTTTCCATCAAAATATTTTTGTGATAAATTAACTTGTTAGCACTTAGAGGTATAAGTGCCTGACAATCATTAAACAAATATTTCCTTGATATTGTATAATAGATGGTAAAGGGAATAACTCCAAGTACTTTTGCCATTTAGCCAAGTTTAATCTTTGTCAAATTGCCTTAACACTTATGATTTTACATTTAACTAATTGTTAAAGTTTCCTTTTGCACTTTTGCCAGTTTTTACAGTTTGGCTTCTTTCCTTAGATCCATAGTGCAAGTCTGCAGCTGGTGTGAATATGTACTCTTGACAACTGCATTTCTAGAACTTTAAAGGGAAGGCTTATAATTTTTGTTTTGTAATTTTTCTTCCTGCCTGTTTCTGTATCTAGGTTTGTTACCTACCCAGCAAAATAAAAGGCACGCATAATCTATTTTTTAAAAAAGGCAAGAACTTCAAAAGTAAACTAGGACCTATGGGAAAGAGAAATAAGCAATAAGCAAAGAAGTAGAGAAAATAAACTTTCCACTTCCAACTAGGAACTAAGTTGAGCAAAATGGCCATCTACCTGCTTCAAATGTTGTCAGAGTCACAGAGAAGGGAGGTCAACCTGAAAATGCTCTCTCAGTGGCGATGGCAACTTAGGTTTCCTTACCTGCTATGGTGATTCACCCACCACAGCTGGAGATTCAAATCCAAGAGCTCAAAATCTTTTTGAGGAACAAGTATAGAAAAGTGTCATGAACAAAAAATGAACATCTACTTGGAATGACAAAACCATTTCAAATTAAACCCTTAACAATTTAAATCTCTAAAACTTTAAGAACATCCAAAAATACCAAACATACAAAACACCAAAACAGAAGTGATAATTTGGAACATGAGTCATATACTGTATGGTACACATAGCAAAGGTATTAACATTTTCCACAGATAGAGATATCAGTGCTTCCCAAACCAACTTCCAAGAGGATGAAATACAGCAAGGTTAAGCTACCACTAGAAACTATTAATGCCAGGACATTTTTCAGTTATTTCTGGTTAGCTTTGACCTTTAACTGTTGGGTTTCAGGTCTTCAATTAAATCATAGATTTATGAACTAAAGAGGTAGAAGAATGCTTTATAGGCTATTTTCAACTGATTATTGATTTCATGAGCTGGAATAAATGTTCATATGTCAAATATCTGACAAATCAAACAGACATGTATACAAACAAAGCCAGTCCTACGTTTCCAAGTATATATTTAGTACAAAATATTTATGTATGTGTTGCCCACTGTTACATTGGCTTATATGATCTGTGTATATACACCTGTTACCTGAGAACTCTGTAAAATTGATCAGCCCTTCAAATAAGGTTTAATCTCATTTCCCTGGGCCTCAAAAGGCAGAGGCTATGTTGTCTCTCAAAGTAAGTACCCAAGGCAACTGATAAAGGTCTATTGACACTGGCCCTTCATTAAGGATGTCTTAATGACTGGCACTCTTGTAATACTTAACTAATGCCTTGTCCACTTGCATCTGGATCAGCTGATAACTGTTAAGTTTTTAAATGATACAAGCATGTCTTTCTCCTATCCCATCATAAGGCATCTGTAAATCTTTAATTCTTAATAGCTTATAAGCATGTTTCAAAAGAAAAAAATAGCTGCTAAACCTGGCTCTGGAATCAGATGAGGGTGAGAGTGGGATTTGCAACCCGTAGAAAATAGACAATTCCATTGTCAAAAACGTGGACCTGGTGAAATTTTTGTTCTCATATTCACAGCATCAGAGTAAGAATTTTCCATATGTAAGGATGATAATTAATTATATTTGCATGAGTACTTCACCATGATAGTAGAAAATACACAAGAATCCAGGCAAGAGAATGTGAAAGAAAAGTAACTTTCTTATTGCATAATGATCCTTTCTTATTTTTTACTACACACATGTAACTTCCCAAATATAGAGTCATCTGATATTCAAATCCAGGCAAAGGAGGGTGGTCTGGGAGTGCCATCCCATCTCCCCTCCCCCAGTGGTTGGCTAACATGAATGAACGTTTTTACAAGTTGGTTTACTGATGTGAAAATTTTCTCAGAGACCTGGGGCTCCCTTCTAAAAGACACAGATGGCAATGACCATTTCATTAAGAAATCTACACACAGCATGTTACCTGCTCAAGGGGAAAGTATTTCCTTTGAGTCTAAATCAAGTTAGTACATTTAAGATACCTGAGAGGGTTGAGTGCATTGAACTTCATGGCAGGAGCCCGAACTAAAAAAGCCAATGCATTATTTGCTTTGTTTCTTTATAAGAAAAAAGTGTCTGTCTGTCACCAGACTCAGCTCAGGAATCAGAAGGGGTGGAGAACAATTTGTAGCCCATTGATAAAGCAAAATACAGATGATCATAGGAGGATTTTTGTTCCTGTGAGCACTCCCTTGCACTAGCCTGAAAGGCCCGAAGAAGGGTCACTATGTCTGGCTCTGCCTTGCATGTCTTTACCTGGGTAGAGGTCAGGCCCGGGCCCAGGGGAGCATCCCACAGCCCCTTCGGCAGCAGCATCTCTCGGGGAAGAGGCTGGCTGCAGGGGCTGCACCGTGAGGCAATCTGTGAGCAGGTCTGGATGGAGCTCTGTGCTGGACCGCAGCTAAGAGAAGGAGAAAATAGAAGAGAGATCCATAAGGAAAGCTGGTCCTTGGAATACTTTCCTGAAAACGCACCACGCGCTAAGATTTGATGCAACGCAACCCACAAACATTTATCAAGCAGCAGGAAGGGCAAGACACAGTGACCTTAATAAAAAGGTCACTTCTCTGATCCTGGTAACACCTGGCAGGTGCCTCAGGAAAAATGTGGCTAAAGGCGGATTTGACATCAGTCCTTGATATTTCCGCTTCTGGGAACTCAACTTCCTATTATACTTCCTTTTATTTGCTCTGTATCTTATCAGAACTTGTAGTGATAACAAAAACAAATTCAAGTAGACTCAGTCTATACTGAAAAGTACTTTTAAAATACAGATCTACTGTCATGAAAAATATCCCAGAGATAATTGGGAAATGTCCATTGAGATTACACTCCTATAGATTTTTACATGAAAGGAAAATGCTCAAGTTAAATTTTAAAATATTACAGACCACAATGAAAAGAAAAGCCAATGTCATTAACAGCAACGAAAACCCAACTTACTTGCCAACAGTAAGTTACATGAAAATAAAACAATTCAGATCTTCATTTATCACAGATAATAAAATTCTTTATACATTAAGGAGTTACACATAAAAATCAAATCATAAAAATGTTAGAATAAAGTGTAGGTGAAAGGGTATCTGATCTCTTTAAGAATTGTGTGTGTTTAATTCAAATAGGAAAAGAATCACAATAGAAGATTTAGTGACAAAACCGTCTGCTTGCACAAAAACGTAATAGCTTGCAAACAATATAGAGATACATTTGTTAAAAGCATCACAAATGGTTTTCATCTGCATATTTAATGAGAGTGTATACATTGATTTTTATCAAGATAACACTCAACCTCTAGATACAGGGATGGAGTATACTTTACTCATTCAAAACATGTGTACTGAGGGTCACACACTCCTCTAGATCCTAAAAATACTGTTCTTTATAGAACTTAGATTGTAGGTGGGGAAGCAGAAGATGAACAATAAAATATACACAGCATCAGATGGAGATAAATGCTACAAAGAAAAGTGATGCAGAGGAAAGAGACATGAGTAAGGAATGAAGGTTGCAACTTTAGATAGAGCATCGGAGAAAACATCTTGGAGATGGCACTTGTAAGAAGCCTTGGAAGAAGTGGGGAACAGGCCCTGCAGACCTGTGGAGGGGAACTTGCTGCCCCAAGGTGTGCCTGGATGATCAGAGGCAGCAAGGCTGGAGCAGAGAGAGCCCAGGGGCGAAACCAGAGATGGGGGTGGGGATGGATAAAGCCTTGACATGAACAGAAACTGTTAAAAAGGAGAGAGAGAAATGGCAGTAAACATGAAAAATGCTGAGCACACTCCCAGAAAAGTGCAATGGTAAAACTCCTTTCTTAACACTTAGCAAATAATCAACAACTTTTAAAAAGTAGTAGCAGTGAAGATGTAATGAGGGAGGGAAAATTAAGACACTGTTGGTAGGAACGTATATTGGTTCAAATGTTCTAGATGTCATTTGGGAATATTTTTCAAGATCCACCACTGAAATATTGTGATTCTACAATCGGTCTTGAGAAAATAGCCAGAAATGTTAAGGAAGATTCATACCTACACATACACACACGCATGCACACACAGGCTCATACACGCACACACGTGGACTATTATTTATAGAAATACCATATCAGGATATTACTTAAATGCCTTAAATGTCCACACTTAGCGCTAACAACTGATCTCACATCAATTTGATGGCATGTTATATAACTATTGAAGTGATCTTCATGAATGTAAAAGCAAACCCCCAAATTATATACAGAAAATGATAACAATTATATACAAACACACAAAGCATCATAAGGTAATGTAACTCAATATTACAACTTACTTTGTTCTCAATAGCAATATGATAAATTTCCTTCCCTTTTCAAAAATGCTTTCCTCTGCTTTCCAAATTTTCTACATTCTAATGATGTACTAGAGCTGGCTTATACTAATCTGACAGTGCCAACTGTGCATAGCTTTTCCAAACTTTCTATACAATAATGTCTGATAGCATGAAACTGGTTACGATGAAAATATTTACACCATGGAAATTGGCAAATGCTACAAACTGGGATTTTTTTTCGTCTGGAAAGCTGGTTGCTAAAATTCCCAGCACACTACTGACAATGACCACGTTCTCATCAGAGAGAAACAGAAACACACAATGAATAAGTTCCTGTTTAAAAAGAAGTATTTCTTGGATCTCAAAAGTTTCAGGAAGATATAAATATATGTCCAGGTCTTAGTCCAAGGACTAAGGGACTAAGGGAAGGAACATTTAACATGTAGTAAGTGAGACATACTTTCACTGTAATTTCTTCAGCTCTGGCAATTGGCATCTCTGACCAAGGCCATCTGTGTTAATGTCTAACCCTCTTGGGGTCTTTAGAAGTTATGTTTGTTATTTTGGTACTAATCTAATACATGCTACATAAGAAAAACTAGAAAAAAATTAAGGCTTAGAATGAGTTCTGGTGATCACTTCTAATTTATCAGCCATCATTAAAATATGATCTGGGGTCCACATGTTCTACTCAGGGCAAACATGAGTGCTTTTCTGCTTTCTATTACCACATAGTCTAGGGTTTTATAGTTATCAGTACCAAGGAGTATTTCCAAGGAATTTCACGGCCATGGTTACTTCAGGCACCAAAGGCAAATAATTTTTCTTCAGCGTCAGTAAGTACTCATCTTTCCCAAGAGTGTGATTCTATACAACTTTGTGGTGAGAATTAACTTGGATTTCTCTGAAATTAGGCATGGTTTTAGACAATACCTAAATGGAACAAGCCTAAATTTTGACTGTATGCAAAATTTCCAGAGGAGGAGTAATATGGTAATGATATTGCCTAGTAATGGTATGCATAGTAATATGGTAATGATATGTCAAGTTCCAGTAACCCCATGGATCATTAGAGCAGGAAAGGGCCTTCCTGATCTTTTAAGGTTTTTAAACATCCTCTAGTACAGAAGTTATCTAATGGGTGAGAAAGGATGCCCAAGAAGAATCTTCTGGGAGGGTTGCCTTCCAATATATTATGATATGGTTTTATATTTGGAATAAGAAGGCCAACTATTCACATAAAATGATTATGTGATGCTTATTTTAATGTCTTATTAGCTGCTAAGGATACATGAAGAAGACAGAGGGAAATTTTTGAGTGGTGGTAGGGTCTCCTAATTGGGCATGCACCTGCAGGGATCCACCCTAGAGTGCCTGACTCCCTAGGTCCCCGGTGTACTTCACAGTGGAGATATTGATGCTATTCGTATGGGAATCCCTCACTTTCAGAATCACTGGCCTCTCACAATTTTGATGAGAGGAACTATGATTTTTCTGGTTATGGAAAGAGGAAAAATATTATGGAAACAGGGAATTATAAAATACTAGCATTCTTTAATGTAGGATCTGAAATCTTACCATCTTTCATCTTTCTGAAACAGATTTTAGGCCTTTAATTAATGGGTATTAGGAAAGACCATTCAGAGGACAAAGTATAGACAAATGCCAGGAATGTGGGCTAGTCATTTAAGAGTTGGAGGCTCGGTGCTCATAGCATAGTGGTTGCAGTGCCAGCCACATGCACCGAGGCTGGTGGGTTAGAACCCAGCCCGGACCAGCTAAACAACAATGACAACAACAACAACAACAACAAAAAATAGCAGGCGTTGTGGCAGGTGCCTATGGTCCCAGCTACTTGGGGGGTTAAGGCAAGAGAGTTGCCTAAGCCCAAGAGTTTGAGGTTGCTGTGAGATGTGACGCTAGAGCACTCTACCGAGGGTGACATAATAAGACTCTGTCTCAAAAAGAAAAAAAAGAAAAAGAAAAAAGACTTGGAAATATTGGGAAAACAAATCCAAACCCATTTAGGGGTGATTGTGTCATGTTTTATATCCTATCATCTTAAAATATCTTGGAAATTTTGTAAGAAGCCTCCTTGGCATCTGTACCTTATAGTGTATCTCCTGTGGAAAGTAACCATTAATTCTGGGGTCATGTAGGAGGTCAGACAATTAAGTTCTCAAACTCAACCTAGAAAAAGCGCTACATACCTCATGCTAAATATTACTAAGTTGCTAAAGGGGAGTACCTCAAAGGTGACCACAGTGATACACAGCAATGAGGTGTGTAGCACTTTTTCTAGGATGAGTTCATGAACTTAATTGCTCAGCCTGGGATACTAATGGGTTATCACAAAGAAGATTCTTAAGCTCCCTATGTACACCTCTGATTGTCTCTCTTCACATCTCATTACGATAGATGGTTAAATGAGGATTACTTCTTAAAAATAATTTGGACATATTTTTTTTTCATAAGGATAAAAAGGTTTAAAAAAGTCAATCCAGTTTAATACCTGTCCTTAGGGGATAGCAAAGGACTTGCCCTCTCCTGCTCTTTGTAGAAAGAGGTAGAATTTGGACCACTGATCATTAATTTATCTGTTTTAAAGGACTGCTGTGGTGCATGACACCAGAGACCTTTACTCATGTTGTAATCTCTATGAACGGTGCCCCTGGAATCACTCAACTCAGCTGCTCTCGCCACACCTTTAGTTCCAGAACAGCACTGCCCTGCTTTCTCCTTCTCATTCATTCACTGAATGAACAGCTCCTAGTCCTCAACTATGTGCCAGGTATTATTCTAGGGGCATGAAATATAACAGTTATCAGAACAAAGGTTCCCTCAGGGGAGTTACCAGGAGAGACAGGAAGCAAACTAATTACAGTAAATGGACTGCAGTGAGGGTGTGAGTGCAACGGGAAAAAGACAGTGCAGGGAGGGCAGGGAGACTGGGAGAGCAGGGAGAACTGGCCTCAGGAGAGAAGAGCTCTCTCATTAAAGACTTGGAAGAGTTGGAGAAATTAGCCAAGTGAATATCTGGGGAAGACAGTTCCAGAAGGAAGGAATTGCAAGGAGACCAGGATGGCTGGTGTGGGG